CACGAATAATGTTTTTGTAGTAGTCATGTGTCATTCTACGATTGACTTTAAATTTATTGTAAGCTTTGCAAATTGCTTCGCAATATTCTGCTCTCAAGTTTTGATCATAAAATCGTGCTTGATAACAAAGACTTAAAGACAAAATGTAGGATCTGATAAGTTGTTCATGTGGATAAAAGCGCATCACATATCTATGTTTGTCACGTTCATTCATACTCTTTAAAAAGAAGTCAAATATCTTTATCGCTCGTTTGACGTCGCGCAAACTGACACTGTGTTTCCCTTCTTGTTTTCGAACAAAATCTTGCGAGCAGAATAAAAGCTCAGAAAATTTAGCGACTTCTTCCTCTCTTAAATTTTTCAAGCACTTTTTGACCATGATGTTGATGTAGACCTTTTCGTCTGACGGTTTTAACACACCATAATCCCAAACGTAGTCAAGTATTTGATCGGGGAGAGGATGCACTTGATATGCCAGTCTACTTTGTTCCTCATATCTTCTGGTTTCTAGCCCAGCTTCACATTGACTTTTTGTACGGATGCGGTAGGGGTTGCAGGCGGCAAACACTCGTATGTTGTAGTGTATTGGATTTCCAAGTAAAATTCGATGAGCGATGAGGTCAGCGAGGAGGCCAATGTGATTGCAGGTGTTAATTTCATCGAAGAATAACCAGACCTGACCGTTCTCTGCGATTTTCTCGCTCTCACTCATGAATTCCAGTATATCTTTTTCACTTACACCAGCGTGCAAGTTGAGAGCTCTAAACTCAACGTTTACCACCAAAGCCAAGAATTGAATCAAACTTGTCTACAAATTCAAATAGATACCGAAATTTTATCCCTCGATCCTTCGAAAATAGAAAATATATATATATATATATATAACACCAACCTTTCCACACCCGGCCTCTCCACAAACGACCACGGGAATACCGGCACGAGCTCTCAAGAGAATTAATGCCATTTTCAGTAAGTTCTCGACCGATAAAGCGTATGGGTAATATTCTCGTTTTTCGAGTGTAGTCCTTGCAAGGCACTCTAGCTTTCTTATGATGTCTTCGGAAGACATATTTTCAAAATCCTCCAATGAAAAATTTC